GAGGAGCTGGGATTAAGAGAACAAGATCAAAATTAGCTGAAGAAAGCAGAGCAAGTATTTTCAGTTGAATGCAGTCCAAACCAATAGATAAGGATAATGGGAAACGTGAGATCCCCAAATTTTTTATCTTCCTGTTTTGTTCTGTTTTGCCACAGTCTTGTAGCTTTATATTTGCCTGTCCCCTATGGAAAGAGTCATCCCATTGTAATGCCACGCCTTATTTTCATGATGAGGCCTATAGCTGAAATATAGAGTGACTCACCAACAGTATTTCAGCTGAGTGAACACAACGATTCTAATAGCTGTCTCCTAATTAGCAGGTTTTTGAGATAAAGACAGTTGAATAGCTTGCATCCTCTGACACTCCAAATTAATAACGCTCCAGTAGCAAACAATAAAGTGGTAGAGATTGGCATTATTACTTTTTGGTATAGTACAAAATAAATTAAAATTAATCTGGCTTGTTTATCTACACAGTCTAGACTATTTCAAAATGCTGGAGATCTCTGCCTTGGCTCTAACAGATGATGCCCTAGAGAGCTCTAAATAAAGCTAAAAGAACTGCTCCTAAAGCAAGATTCAAAAATTTCTAGATTACAATTTTATGAATAAAATTAATTAACCAACAATTCATTACATTTTAAAAGCTTCATCTGATCGTAATAATCCTTGTTTGCAGCCCAAACAGTATTTGGTAATTGCAGAATGATGGAGTAATGTGGATATTTTTTGATTACAGTTCATTACATAAGATAACAAGGAAGAATTTGTCTTTGAATCATAACGAAAACTTAATTGATACTGCTATTCTAAAATATTTCCAGTTACTAAATTTCAGTCTGTGTCTTAATCAGTTTTATATCAGAAAGAGATTTTAACAAGATAATGCTGTGAAAATAATTTCATTGCATTATAAAACCTTTGGCTGGATCTCATAAGTAATTAAACTCCAGCCATCTTGGAAATCTGACACAAATGCAATTCTAATTTTAATATTCTTTAAGATTATAAAGTTTCAAGTTTCTTTTACTTTCTCTACTGCCTTTAATCAAATTTAAGCTTTTCCCTCCCTCTCTACCACCAAACAGTCTAAAATTTATACTTTCAAGATAATTTCAGGAGGGATAAATGCTAGACACCAGAATCATGCCTCAGCACACAAGCTGAACTTAAGCAACAACAAGGGTAATCTTATAAAACGCAGTTACTTTTCTAAGCAATATATGCAATGATTACCCAGTACTATTCTTTCAGGACTTTACACAGACATGCTTTCAGCTGAGGCTGAAGGTTCTGAGAGCTCCTTCAGCATAGAGCAGAGTTCACATAAGCTCAGGCTTCATCCAATAAGGCATTTCTACCATGAATTCACATTTATTTCAGAGGCCTTTCTAAACTTTGTATTTAATAAAATAACAGACAGATAATCTCCTACGGAGACACTAAGATGCAACAGTGCTGCCCATCCTTCATATAGACAGATCCGGCTGCCAGAAGTTTTAAAATGACAATAGCACATTTTGAACTAAAACACCTGTAGGGAAGGACACAGAGTCAGTCCCATGCAGTTGGGATTCCACCTGCCCAGTGTTGTGCCAATAACCAGCTCATCTCCTTCTGACATTTATGAAGATCCCACAACCTGAATTAGGAATAACTCAAAATCACTGAACCGGTTTTCATTTAAAGGTACAGCTGACTTGTATACTAGAGGCAGCGTCAAGAGAAGTGCAGAATTCAGGCTCCTGTCAAACACCTAATTGCTGAACAAGGAAGCAAGAAATTAAGGACAGTCTGGGGGAAAAAAAAATTGCTTTGCTACATTGCATGGTTCACTTAAATTTAACGCCCTGTGTTAAGACCCATTGTAACTGTTGATAACATGATTAAAACCATGCAGCCACAATATCTTGGTCCAGACTGCAAACAATACAATTGGATTCACAATCTTGCTATAGGTTTACTTCTTACTACAAGTAATAAGGAACCACAAACCAGTGGATCACATTTTGCTCATTAATTAATTAAAATCTGCCATTTACAAGAGCATTCAGAAAATTTTTCTCCAAAAAAGCTTTTTTAACTGAGCATGTGAAAAACACATATAAACCCCCTTCATTTCTGGCAAAAAGAAGAATAAAAGGATGGAAAAGTTGCTACTATATATGGCTTCTGGATTTCATGACAGAGACATTTTACTCAACCCAATTATCCTGTGTATGTTTAAATGCTTTTATAGACTAACCAGACCAAACATAAGCCATGCTTACAGCACTCACTACAAGGTGAACATGTTTATAGGGAGTCAAGGTCAGGAATATGTGTTTTATGTGAAGTATAGACTTTTTTTTTTTTCATAGACAAACACACACACATATAAAATACTTTCTAGAACCAAGCAACACCAGTGCAGGGAACACAAACTTACAAACATACAAACATTTTGTATTTACAATGTAAATACACAATGATGGCCTAATGAACTTTCTATTTGCTGCAGAATTGCCAAGCTTCTGTCTGAATGTCAAAAAACCATCCCCTGCACAGAATAGTATGATGACAATTTTCTGTGCCTAAGTGACATCAAAAAGCATGGACATATGCATATGTTCTTGCAATAAATTAATGTAATGTTAATTGTTTTCCCCCAAGCATCAATTCCGCTATACTTTTGTGTACTAACTTCTCAAGAATAATAGCAGCAAACTAATGAATAGATACATAATGTATTAAAACAAAGTTTATTGTTCCTCAAAAATATTTGTACATAGTTTCATTTTGTTTATATACAGTCGTACATTGAAGTTTAAACATCAGGATTTCAAAAACACAAATGAATTTACTTCAATATTTGGTTCAAGTCATCTGCCACACCTTTTTCTAAAACCTTCAGAAGGCATTTTACAGTAAGTTGAGCTGATAAGAGACTACCCATACCCAGAAGAAGCAGTCCCACCTGCTCTGTGATCTTCCCCCTTCTTGTGCATAAAAGTATTGCTACTCTAACCCTTCAGTGATCAGGTCAAGGAGCTAAACTAGTTTAAAGTAGTGGGGAAAAAAATCCCTGGAAGATGAAATAGGCATTAATTATCTGTTAAATAGTATGTCCTCAACTTTTGATGAGGACAAGAGGAAACAGCCTCAAGTTCTGAAAGGGGAGGTTTAGATTGGATAGTAGAAAAAATTTCTTCGGCAAAAGAGTCGTTACGTTGAACAGGCTGTCCAGGGAAGTGGTTGAGTCACCATCCCTGGAGGTATTTAAAAGATTTGTAGATGTGACACTTTGAAATGTGATTTAGCGGTGGACTTGTGTGCTGGGTTAATCATAGAATCATAGAATCAGCCGGGTTGGAAAGGACCTCTGAGATCATCAAGTGATCCAACACCGCCATGGTTACCAGACCACGGCACTAAGTGCCACATCCAGTCTCATCTTAAAAACCTCCAGGGATGGAGAATCCAACACTTCCCTGGGTAGCACATTCCAATGCCTGATTACCCTCTCTGTAAAGAATTTCTTCCTAATATCCAACCTAAACCTCCCCTGGCACAGCTTAAGACCATGCCCTCTTGTCTTGCTGATAGTTGCCTGACAGAAGAGACCAACTCCCACCCGGCTACAATCTCCTGTCAGGGAATTATAGAGAGTGATGAGGTCTCCCCTGAGCCTCCTCTTCTCCAGGCTGAACAACCCCAGCTCCCTCAGCCTCTCCTCATAGGACTTGTGCTTGAGTCCCTTCACCAGCCTTGTTGCTCTGCTCTGGACCTGCCCCAGCACCTCAATATCCTTCCTGAACTGAGGGGCCCAGAACTGGACACAGTACTCCAGGTGTGGCCTCACCAGCGCTGAGTACAGGAGAAGAATCACTTCCCTGGTCCTACTGGCCACACTGTTCCTGATCCAGGCCAGGATGCCATTGGCCTTCTTGGCCACCTGGGCACACTGCTGGCTCGTGTTCAGTTTCCTGTCAATCCAAACTCTCAGGTCCCTTTCTGCCTGGCTGCTCTCCAGCCACTCTGTGCCCAGCCTGTAGCACTGCAGGGTTCTTGTGGCCAAAGTGGAGGATCCAGCAGTTGGCCTTGTTGAACCTCATCCCATTGGAATCAGCCCAACTCTCCAGCCTGTCCAGGTCCCTCTGGAGAGCCCTCCTGCCTTCCAGCTGATCGACATTCCCCCCCAGCTTGGTGTCATCTGCAAATTTGCTGATGGTGGACTCAATCCCCTCATCCAGATCATATTAAACAGGACTGGGCCCAACACTGATCCCTGGGGGACACCACTAGTGACCGGCCGCCAAGTGGATTCAGCCCCGTTCACCACCACTCTGGGTCCGGCCCTCCAGCCAGTTCCTAACCCAGCAGAGAGTGCCCCTGTCCAAGCCGTGGGCTGCCAGCTTTTTCAGGAAAATGCTGTGGGAGACAGTGTCAAAGGCCTTGCTGAAGTCCAGGTAGACCACATCCACAGCCTTCCCCTCTTCCACTAGGTGGGTCACCTGATCATAAAAGGAGATCAGGTTGGTCAGACAGGACCTGCCCTTCCTAAACACTGAGCTGGCTGGGTCTGATCCCTTGTCCATCCTGTAGGTGCTGTGTGATTGCACTTAGGATGATCTGCTCCATAACCTTGCCAGGCACTGAGGTCAGGCTGATGGGCCTGGAGTTTCCCGGGTCCTCCTTCCGGCCCTTCTTGTGGATCGGCGTGACATTTGCCAACTTCCAATCATCTGGGACCTCCCCAGCAAGCCAGGACTGTTGATAGATGATGGAGAACAGCTTGGCGAGCTCTTCTGCCAGCTCAAACCAGGGTTGGATTAGACGAGCACCAGAAGATTGACACGAAAGGGTCAGAAATTTGTCACCAGGGCTGAGGGAGACAGTAGGACCACTTCTTTGCTCAGCAGTTAACCACAAGACCATCTTCCCCGCATTATGAAAGCATACACTTAGAGGTCATAGTAAAAAAGACTCTCTCTCCTGCTGACAATACATCACAACAAAAATTCACATTGCATAACCTGGTTTATTTCCTAAGCCTTTGACAGACTAACAGAAGACATCCTGAAAATTAACCCTCCTTGTTATTGCCAGATCTTGATTTCTCCAGCCCAATCACAGGTTGCAAGGAGTGATGGCAAGACTGGGTGAAATATTGCACTCACACAAGCTTCTTTATGTGCAGACAAAGTGCGAATAATCCTAGAAGTATGATAGTTGTAGAAAAACACTTTGCCATCTGAACTTCCTGTCACCAAAAGTGTTCCATCTGGAGAAAATTCACAGCCCGCTGCAAATCCTTCCACCTGTGAAAATCAATAACAGTGTAACTATTGATGCTGATTAGAAAAGTTCATTGTGGTATACTGAAAATTAATATAGTACCAAAAAAATGTATCTTTAAATAAATATACACTAAAGACTTCTCCAGGTGTTTATTAAGACACAGCTATACTACAAACTTATTTAATCAAGCTATTAAGCATTCATAAAGTCTTGTAATAACTATTTTCTTCAGAGTGCATATGATTCAAAGTACACTGGCACAGAGGAAAGCAAATGAAGCCAATTAATATCTATCACTGATTTATAATAAAACACTATTAGCAGATATATTAAGAAGCAGAGGCACTTTGCTATCTATATTTCTTTTAAACTTGGATCCTGAGTTCCTGGTGAAGAAGGATACCTTATGTCCTTCATATCTTTTCTTTTTGTTGATCCGGTATGGTCGCTGCGCAGAAAACAAAGCCATGTAGTTTCCGTTTGTCTGAGCAACAAACACAGACTCTTTTGGGTGCAGAGACAGACTTGGGCAAGTGTAACGCTCCTGAAAATAATTGTAAAGAAAGTTTTGTTGTATGAAACAAAAGATTTGCTCAAATGATTCAAGTTATCTTTTGATATATTTGAGAGCCCATAAAAGGCAAAGTATACATAAGTCCTTTCCATAGCATACATTATATAAAGTTACTTAACTCATTACAAACCACTGAAAGTCTTACATCAAGACAAATGCTAAATCAAATCTATACCTCAATTTCCTAGATATTGACCAAAATGCCATATCTCTCTAAACCATAATTATATGCAGAACAACTGAAGAAAGATAATTTCAACCAGATGGTTCTCAATCATCCTCTTCCTGCCAAGGAAAACCAAAGTTTGAACATGAAAGTGAATCCTCTTCTCCCATATCCCTTCCTCCACAGTTATACTGTGCTTTCCACGCTACTTTGTACAGTTCTCAAATCCTCCATCCTCTCAGTTCTGGCCACACTGACAGGAACAGAAACTATCTCATTGAAAGAGACACATTTCTTCACCTCACTCTTATAAAAAAAAAGAATAAAAAGGATCATTATTAGCCTCCTTATGACAGTGATGTAGGCTGCTGCTGGCTGTAAATCCACAAATATCTGCAGTAATTAATAAGACTTGGTTTTACTCTAGAGTTCCTATTTAAGACTGAATTAAGATTACTTCCAGAACTCTGCATGGGGACTCCATCAGAAATCAACTGCTCTCACAAGGCTTCCACTAGGTCCAAACCTCTTCTAGTTTCAGCCTAACCTAAACATACAGTGCTGAATTTTGATACCATGAATACGAATTAAGTGGGATGTATCTGCATGTGAAGAACACCAGGACATCATGGGCTATATAGTAGAGCAGGAAGAACATCAGACTGGTTTTGTAGTGTGATTTGGAAGTGAAGGACTGGGAAGGAAGTTCTGGGTACCATAAGGTATTGGGCACAATGCACTGCATGTGTTTCCAGGAAGAATCTGGGTCTAACAGTATGGGATCAGAAAGCACAATGCAATCTGCAGGAGCACTGTGCTGTTATGCTGGGGATGCTGTAGTAATGGATTATCTTAGAGCTCTTAACTATTCATTTGTTAATGCACACAAGCAATAGATCAAGTTGGGATCTACTCTGTTTGGAGAGATGAGGGGTTTTTTTCCACCTCGAAGGTGGGAGAAGGTTTCAAAGGTGAAATTCAGAAAAGCGAAGCAGAGTGTGCAAAATCATTACCAAGTTTTGTTTATTCACAGTGCAGAAAAGGGGGTATAGGTGAGAAGTCCATTTCAGAGATGCTGTAGTCATGAGAAGGGGCGGGGGCAGACTGTTTATTTATGTGTTGCTCCTTGATGCTGAACCTGTCTGGTCTGTAATTTATATACTCACAGTTGGATTTTTTTTCTACCTATTGTCTATTGAAGATGTTGATAGATCCAAAGACAAAGACATAACTATGGAAATTAAACATGAAATAATCCCATTAAATCATCAACTGTATGTCTTTGTCAGCAGAGAACTGTTCATTTTAGCCAAAAAGCATCTATATACAATCCAATCATATTATATTACATAGGATATTAGACCTGGGTTTTCAAAAAAGACCCAGGGAGTTGAAATTATCTATTAACTTCCTTGGTAATCTCCTTTGAAGCCATTAGTCTTTCTAGACAATTTAGTCCATTAAATGTCTTGCTTGGATAGATGACTGAGAGAAACACTGCACCTGCACTGATAAACGCAAATTTTGCCCCTGTGATTATGCTGTACTAGGTATCTGTATGCATGTATCAGGTTGCTATTACTATGTGAATATTAAACTCAACTTCTCAACAGCCCTCAGTGCAGCTGATGAAAAATGTATGAAAAAATGTGGGAAAAGAAATGTGGCACTATAGCAACTCCTGCCATGCACCGCTGGCAAACTAGAATGACACTGCAGAGTCCTTGCCTAAATATAGCTCGGATGTCAGTGAATTAACATTGAAATGCAAATATTTTAAACACGAGATCTCTCAGTCTTCAAGGTCATTTTTTAAGAACAATTAAGTGCTACATGTGAAAATAAAGCAAGTCATCAACTTACACGAAGAGCATCTTATACATCATATGATGATCTTATTGAAAATCAAAAGGTTTTTTTTACTACACTGACAAGCATGAAATACTAAAACATGACCTAAACAATACTAGTTGTTAATCTTACATGAAAAATCTGGTTGGAGATTTTTGCAGCACTTTGGAAATCCCATGCAATGATGGTACGATCAGCTGAGTCTCGGCTTACTGCATCTGTGCTTGAAAGAAACTCTCTTCCTTCAGGGAGAAAGAGTATATCCAAAGTCTGTTGTACTGCAGCTTTGTACACTCTTAACACCTAGTGGATAAAAGGCTTTGTTATTTTTTGACAGATTAGAACATCATAACCTATGTTTCCCGTCCTCGTATTAATAACTATCTCCATTAAATTATATATTATTTTTAAATATTAAAAAGTAACGCAATTTAAAATGTTGAAGTACTAGTGTATTAAATAGTTTGGTCAATGTATATAAAGAGTCAACATACAGGAAAATTAAATGAGATTTTAAAAAAGCATCAGTTTGTACAATTTATATATTATATTTATATATACATAAGGTTCTGTTGTAAATTACCAAGGAATAACAGTTAGATCCAGAAAGAGCTCTAGACAACACAAAGTCGTGGAGCTGGGTCTACACAAGGTCCCTTTTATATTATGAATTCTTCTTGATTCCCTAGAAGAGGAAAAAGAATCTTTGGCAGCAAACTGGCCAACTTGGTGAGCTGGGCTTTAAACTGAAGAACTCAGGGCAATCGGGGAGTCCAAAGTGGCAATGCTACGCACACCATTGCAATCAGCTGGGGAATAAGCCAGGCCAACCAGAGCAGCAACAAATGACCCTTAGCTGCCTCTCAAGATGAGAACCAGAACACCAGCCACCTCAAGTGTACGTTTAGCAACGCACACAGCCTGGGAAAAACCAGGAGGAACTGGAGCTCTGTGCACAGACAGAAAGTTATGATATAATGGGAATAACTGAAACATGGTGAAACAAATCACACGACTGAAGGATCACAATGGGTGGCTATAGGCTGTTTGATAAAGAGAGGCGTGGAAGAAGAGGAGTCATGCTCCATGTTTGTGGGAGCCCTATCGAATTCCTCTGCATCAATATAGGAAGTGGCATCTCCAAGGCGGTGTGAAGTCAAAATGAAAAACATGACTGGAAAAGCCAGCAAGAATTCACCAAAGGTAAATCGTGCTCGACAACAAAGTAACCTGCTCAGTTGATGTGGAGTGAGCAGTGGACATTGACTACCTGCATTTCTCCAAGGATTTCGATACAGTTTCCCACTGTCTCCTCCTAGAGAAATTTATGTTTTTGTGGTCTAGGTCAATGTGGGCGAGGCCCTGGCTGGCAGGTAGCACCCAGAGAATGGTGCTAAATTGGTCCTTTCAAACTCGTAACCTGCCACAAGTAAGGTCCCTCAGGGATTGATATTGGGCTCAGTGCTGTTTATTATCTTCGTAAGTGATCTGGAAGATGGGATCAAGCGTACCCTGACATAGTTTGCCAATGATACCAAACTGAGTGGGGAAATGGACACTTCAGAAGGGAGAGCCACCCTGCAGGAAGACCTGGATAGGCTGGAAGAGTGGGCTAACAAGAGCCTTATGAAGTGCAACAAGGACAAGTGTAAGGTCTTGCACATGGGAAAATATAATCCAGGAGTGCAGCACATACTGTGATCTACCTGGCTGGGCAGCAGCTCTGTGGAAAGGGATCTGGGGGTCCTCATGGACAACAAGCTCAACATGAGTGAACAGTATGGAGCTGCAGCAAAGAAAGCCAACTGGATGCTGGTTGAACCAGGCTTGTTCAGCCTTGAGAAAAGAAGGCTTAGAAGAAACCCTATAACCATGTTCCAGTATTTAAAGAGTGGCTACATAGATGATGGAGACCCTCTTTTTACAAAGAGTTACATGGAAAAGAGGAAGGGTAATGGGTACAAGCTAATCCTGGAGAGATTCCCACTGTACACAAAAAGTGGGTTAGATCCATGCAGAAATGGCTACTCAGCCACAGGATTCTGAATATTTTAACAGCCTGTAAGATGGATCTTAAAATTAAGACATATTTTGAACTATTCTAAGGAATACATGAACAATTTGAATTTCCTTTCTTTCCATCTTCCTTCATGAAATTTTGTACCTATGTTGTCTAATTAGAATTTTGCAAACCAATACTTCTGCTTTCTTTTTTTTCTCATTTGCCTCTAGTGAAGAAAAACTTCAAGGCAAGTGGCCAGATCAAAGCACACCATCTCTCTGAATATGGTGATCCTTGAAACTAGGACACTGGAAGACTCCTAGTTATTAATATCTAAATCTCTCTCTCTCTCAAAGATAGCTAAAACATAGCAGCCTGCACTTCTGACGGGGTGTTCAGGGGTTAGTCCTTCTTCTAATGTCACTAGAAAAACCAACAGAGCAGAGAAAGTATGCACTTGAAGCATTATACTGACTCCTAACTTTGTGAGGCATTTCAGTTTGCCTACCTTACACCCCTAATATTGCCAGGAACTTCTGACTTCAGGGTCCAGACCTTTTGCAGGCACCATAAGCACATACATTTAAAAAAAAAAACAACAACCAACCAAACGATTTTCAGGCATCACAGTAAAATATCATGGATTACATCTCCGTTTTATACTTTCACCAATAAAAGAAAAATCATTTAAAGTATCAAACACAGCATGAGAACTTCTTGATTTATTGCCTCAAGCTAAAAATCCTGTGACTGTTGGGAAATGTTCAGAACTAGTTGATCCTGCTTTAGGGTAGCGATTTACTGGTTCATCTCCTGAGGTCCCTTCCAGCTCTGACTCCTGTGATCTCAGCATGTACAAGGGTGGCACCAGCACCTGCTCCAACTGCTTTTCACAGGCTTTGAGAAATGCACAGTTTAGAAACATGATGTTTGCATTCGGTGACGAAGCTCAGCCATGCAAGCACCCTACACAGCCTGTAATAACAGCAACAAGACGTAAACCTGCAAACTCAAAAAACTGGCATACTTCTCAGCAATCTGCCTGCATTTTTAAGATAGTGAATAGACAAACGTGTTACTTCCTCTCATCAGATTTTTCAGCCTCAGAATCTGCATAATATACAAAGCAATTAAACTTTGTAAAGCCAAAAGGGATATTTCCATATTTATAGCCTCCACTTTCTCTATGGAGAAATCACCATGCATAGATATTTCTTCACAGAGTTATAAAAGGAAGTCCATAGTTCATTAGTAAAGTAGAAAATTAAGCTATTTTGCAGGAGCAAAAATGAAAAAAAAAAATAAACTAAACTAAAAAAAAACCACAAAATATAATAGCTGTCTGGAATGAGAAATGGAAAACCATACAGAAACCTGAGAGCTGTAGGGACTGCAGGAGAAGAATAAAGTTAAATTGAGAGGAGTGGACACAGTCCTGACAGACTGAGGAGGCAACTACTGAGCAGCAGAGACCTTCAGAGAAGTGACAAGTCCCAATCAGAGAGTCGGAAAACCAGAGTGCAGAGCAGCACAAGTGTGCAGAAACAGACACAGAGACAGAAGCAAAGGCCAATTAGTGCTGGGAAATGAAGAACGACGATATAGAGCAATAAATGACAACAAAGTTCCAAACGGTGATTCATGGCAGTGATTCTTTAATATCTTCCTATTTTAAAGAAGAAAATCACAGACATACTGTTTGGTCTTTATCACCTAAAAAAAACCCAAACTTGTGAAATGTGCGTACATATGCATATCCACGGTGGTACACATGTGGGTACACATGCACTGTGTCCAGTATTGTTAAGGGTTTAGGTTTTGGACTTATTTTTAACAGTCTTTGGAGCAACAGACATCTTTCAGTAAGGAACAAGAAGATACTGTGAGGTTGTGCACCTACTTTTAATTTTTGCTGAAAACCTGTTGGGCTCTTACAGAAACTGCCACTATCAATTTCAACATTTTCACTAGTAATCATTAAATAATATTTTCTTGTCTGTTATTTGTTAGATATAACAAAATTACCTGTGTATCTTAGCTTTGCAACAGGAAACTGTCTTTATAAAAATTACTACAAAAAACCTTTTTTTCCTATATGTTTGATACATACCTGAGAAAAACCACGCTGTTCACTCTTCAAACCACACAGTAAGAACTGACTTGGAGAACAACAAACTAACACTTTGAATAGCAGTCGGGAATAAGATATACATGGTATTTAAATTGCCCCATAAAGACATCTTTCAAAAATAACTAATTGCAACATCCCTACTCAGAAAAGCATTCATAATTAAACCTGCTTTATTCTACCTTAGACAATTAATTCATTACATGCCTGAGGAACTTATTTGGGGAAAGCATCAGTTGGCCTACCCTGCTGGCTTAAGTTTGTTAATAACACCTTCTCCTCTTTTTCTATTTGCAGATTTATCACCCATAAGCACTGGAAAACCACAGTCCACTTCTTCAATCTAAGCATTTTCTGGACATAAAAGAATTCATTTCAAAGGAAGGACTAATAGTTTCTGGTGTCAACACAATCCAACATAATAACAAAGCTTCTTTACTAAGGCAAGAGTTCATGGCTGCAGGCATTCGACAAGAGAGGTAATTTAAGCAAATTAAATCAGCTTCAAACAGATTCTTATGGTCCTGGTGATTTGGAAAGCATGCTGTGATGCTGAATTCAAGGTATATATTTCAGAGGAGTGTTCTATAATACTTCTCTGCAATAAAGCACATGCAATGCCTAGTATTTGGTTTGTCAAGAAATCTCAAAGCCTCGACACAAGCAATTCAGAAGCTGTTCTTTGCCCCAGCTCTGTGCTGGTCACCTGTAATCTACGTGCACTGCACTTTTCAAAAAGCCACTCAAGTTTTATGCCAGTGACGAGAAAGAAATGTGGGGGTTTTTATAGTCCTTGCCCTGGGCATCAGTAGATGAGGTCTCAAAACAAATCTAGCAGGACTACAGGCAATCTGGCTGGTCATTAAAAAAATCCTTAATCAGTCAGTGCCATGGCTTCCAATCTGTAAAACTGGGCATATCTTTTCTTCCACTTCTCGTCCTATCTTTTTAGATCGCATATTTTGGCTTGGAACTGCCTTTTCCCACTGGAATGTTGAGTAATTAATGCAGTGTGGGACTCATTTAAGTTTCTTCTGTGAAACAGTACTACACCACTACCAGTAATAAAAAGTACGTTTTAACTTAAAAGAAAGGTTATTTTTGCACAAGCTAGAAGCTTTTTTAACTATTGCAGTGCAAGTCATTTACATCAATCTATCTAGAGAGTAAAGT